CTTGAGGACAGGAAGTACTTTGTGGAGATTGGAAACTGTGTCTCAGATCATATGGCCCTGACCTGTGGAGTCCCACAGGGGTCGATCCTGGGACCTCTTCTGTTCAATCTCTACATGCTGCCGTTAGGTCAGTTAATACGCAGAAACAAAGTTTCCTATCATAACTATGCAGACGACACTCAGATCTATGTCTCACTGACTGCAGGAGAACATGGACCAGTGGACTCACTCCTTCACTGTATCCAACAGATCAGTGAGTGGATGCAAAACAACTTCCTTCAGCTAAACGCAGACAAAACTGAAATGATTGTCTTTGGTCCCCAGAAACAAAGAGAGAGCGTCATCTGTCACCTACAGTCTCTCTCCCTAAAACCTTCAAACAAGGTCAGAAATCTAGGGGTAATACTGGACTCAGACTTAAATTTTAATAGCCACATCAAATCAGTAACATCAGCAGCTTTTTACCATCTAAAAAACATTGCCAGGATCAAAAACATAGTGTCTAAAGCAGACTTGGAGATTCTTATCCATGCATTTGTCTCCAGTAGGTTAGACTACTGCAATGGCCTGCTCACAGGTCTGTCCAAACAGGCTGTAAAACAGCTGCAGTACATTCAAAATGCAGCAGCTCGAGTCCTGACTAGAACCAGGAAGTACGACCATATTAGTCCGGTCCTCAGGTCTCTGCACTGGCTTCCTGTGGCTCAGAGAATAGACTTTAAAACAGCTCTGCTTGTGTACAAGTCTCTCCATGGCCTCGCACCAAAATATATTAGTGACATGTTAGTCCCATATGAACCAGCCCGGACTCTGAGGAGCACAGGGACTGGACTCCTGTTAGTGCCCAGAGTCAGAACTAAACATGGGGAGGCTGCTTTTCAGATTCATGCTGCTAAAATCTGGAACAGTCTTCCTCTGGAGATGTGAGACAGGCCTCCTCTCTGACAATGTTTAAAACCAGGTTAAAGACAGTTCTGTTTAGCTGTGCATACAACTGAGGGATTTTATATTTGTATCTTTCTTTTTAATGTTCTGTGATTATTTATGATTTTAATGCTTTCTTGTTTTGTTCAGCACTTTGAATTGCCTTGTGTATGAATTGTGCTATATAAATAAACTTGCCTTGCCTTGCCTTGCCTAGTGTGACGGTGGTGTAATGTGACGGTGGTCTCGTGTGACGGTGGTCTAGTGTGACGTGGTCTCGTGTGACGGTGGTCTCGTTTGACGGTGGTCTCGTGTGACGGTGGTCTAGTGTGACGGTGGTCTAGTGTGACGGTGGTCTCGTGTGACGGTGGTCTAGTGTGACGGTGGTCTACGGTGGTCTAGTGTGACGGTGGTCTAGTGTGACGGTGGTCTAGTGTGACGGTGGTCTCATGTGACGGTGGTCTCGTGTGACGGTGGTCTCGTGTGACAGTGGTCTCGTGTGACGGTGGTCTACGGTGGTCTAGTGTGACTGTGGTCTAGTGTGACGGTGGTGTAATGTGACGGTGGTGTAATGTGACGGTGGTCTCGTGTGACGGTGGTCTAGTGTGACGTGGTCTCGTGTGACGGTGGTCTCGTTTGACGGTGGTCTCGTGTGACGGTGGTCTAGTGTGACGGTGGTCTCGTGTGACGGTGGTCTCGTGTGACGGTGGTCTAGTTTGACGTGGTCTCGTGTGACGGTGGTCTCGTGTGACGGTGGTCTCGTGTGACGTGGTCTAGTGTGACGGTGGTCTAGTGTGACGGTGGTCTAGTGTGACGGTGGTCTCGTGTGACGGTGGTCTAGTGTGACGGTGGTCTAGTGTGACGGTGGTCTAGTGTGACGGTGGTCTAGTGTGTGACACTGGTCTAGTGTGACACTGGTCTAGTGTGACGGTGGTCTAGTGTGACGGTGGTCTAGTGTGACGTGGTCTCGTGTGACGGTGGTCTCGTGTGACGTTGGGCTAGTGTGACGGTGGTCTTGTGTGACGTGGTCTCGTGTGACGTGGTCTCGTGTGACGGTGGTCTCGTGTGATGGTGGTCTCGTGTGACGTGGTCTCGTGTGACGGTGGTCTCGTGTGACGGTGGTCTAGTGTGACGGTGGTCATGTGTGACGGTGGTCATGTGTGACGGTGGTCTCGTGTGACGGTGGTCTAGTGTGACGGTGGTCTAGTGTGACGGTGGTCTACGGTGGTCTAGTGTGACGGTGGTCTAGTGTGACGGTGGTCTAGTGTGACGGTGGTCTAGTGGGACGGTGGTCTAGTGTGACGGTAGTCTAGTGTGACGGTGGTCTACGGTGGTCTAGTGTGACGGTGGTCTAGTGTGACGGTGGTCTAGTGTGACGGTGGTCTCGTGTGACGGTGGTCTACGGTGGTCTAGTGTGACGGTGGTCTCGTGTGACGGTGGTCTAGTGTGACAGTGGTCTAGTGTGACGGTGGTCTAGTGTGACGGTGGTCTCGTGTGACGGTGGTCTCGTGTGACGTGGTCTAGTGTGACGGTGGTCTAGTGTGACGGTGGTCTACTGTGACGGTGGTCTCGTGTGACGGTGGTCTAGTGTGACGGTGGTCTCGTGTGATGGTGGTCTAGTGTGACGGTGGTCTCGTGTGACGGTGGTCTAGTGTGACGGTGGTCTAGTGTGACAGTGGTCTCGTGTGACGGTGGTCTCGTGTGACGGTGGTCTACGGTGGTCTAGTGTGACGGTGGTCTAGTGTGACGGTGGTCTCGTGTGACGGTGGTCTCGTGTGACGGTGGTCTACGGTGGTCTAGTGTGACGGGGGTCTAGTGTGACGGTGGTCTAGTGTGACGGTGGTCTCGTGTGACGGTGGTCTAGTGTGACGGTGGTCTAGTGTGACGGTGGTGTAATGTGACGGTGGTCTCATGTGACGGTGGTCTAGTGTGACGGTGGTCTCGTGTGACGGTGGTCTAGTGTGACGGTGGTCTAGTGTGACGGTGGTCTCGTGTGACGGTGGTCTAGTGTGACGTGGTCTAGTGTGACGTGGTCTCGTGTGACGGTGGTCTCGTGTGACGTTGGGCTAGTGTGACGGTGGTCTTGTGTGACGTGGTCTCGTGTGACGTGGTCTCGTGTGACGGTGGTCTCGTGTGATGGTGGTCTCGTGTGACGTGGTCTCGTGTGACGGTGGTCTCGTGTGACGGTGGTCTAGTGTGACGGTGGTCATGTGTGACGGTGGTCATGTGTGACGGTGGTCTCGTGTGACGGTGGTCTAGTGTGACGGTGGTCTAGTGTGACGGTGGTCTACGGTGGTCTAGTGTGACGGTGGTCTAGTGTGACGGTGGTCTAGTGTGACGGTGGTCTCGTGTGACGGTGGTCTACGGTGGTCTAGTGTGACGGTGGTCTCGTGTGACGGTGGTCTAGTGTGACAGTGGTCTAGTGTGACGGTGGTCTAGTGTGACGGTGGTCTCGTGTGACGGTGGTCTCGTGTGACGTGGTCTAGTGTGACGGTGGTCTAGTGTGACGGTGGTCTACTGTGACGGTGGTCTCGTGTGACGGTGGTCTAGTGTGACGGTGGTCTCGTGTGATGGTGGTCTAGTGTGACGGTGGTCTCGTGTGACGGTGGTCTAGTGTGACGGTGGTCTAGTGTGACAGTGGTCTCGTGTGACGGTGGTCTCGTGTGACGGTGGTCTACGGTGGTCTAGTGTGACGGTGGTCTAGTGTGACGGTGGTCTCGTGTGACGGTGGTCTCGTGTGACGGTGGTCTACGGTGGTCTAGTGTGACGGGGGTCTAGTGTGACGGTGGTCTAGTGTGACGGTGGTCTCGTGTGACGGTGGTCTAGTGTGACGGTGGTCTAGTGTGACGGTGGTGTAATGTGACGGTGGTCTCATGTGACGGTGGTCTAGTGTGACGGTGGTCTCGTGTGACGGTGGTCTAGTGTGACGGTGGTCTAGTGTGACGGTGGTCTCGTGTGACGGTGGTCTAGTGTGACGGTGGTCTAGTGTGACGGTGGTCTAGTGTGACGGTGGTCTCGTGTGACGGTGGTCTAGTGTGACGGTGGTCTAGTGTGACGGTGGTCTAGTGTGACGGTGGTCTACTGTAGTGTGACGGTGGTCTAGTGTGACGGTGGTCTAGTGTGACGGTGGTTTAGTGTGACGGTGGTCTAGTGTGACGGTGGTCTACTGTAGTGTGACGGTGGTCTAGTGTGACGGTGGTCTCGTGTGACAGTTGTCTAGTGTGACGGTGGTCTAGTGTGACGGTGGTCTAGTGGTTAAGCCAATGCACATACATTCCAGCGACCTGGGTTTGAGTCCGGGGGGAGTCAGAGCGCATTTAATTGCATATAACCACATTCTACTACAGATTACTCCAAAAACAGTTAAAGACGAAGATCATGTGTTTTGCAGATTATAGCTTAATTGTAAAAAGAATCATTTGAGACCACATGTACCCAATTAAAATAATGTTAGTCTCTTTTTGATGTGGGACTTATACATGTCTAAAAAATAGGGAATAAATAAAATTGAAGGGTATATCCTCTGGAGGAAACCCTGATGTTGATACGCTGAAGAAATATGTTCCAACATCCATTCTTCCCACTCTTATTATGGACATAAATTGCTTATTTATTTTGCATAATCTATGTATAATTAAGTGGATTTTATTTTGTCTTTCTCATCTAAAATGTCAAAATAAAAAAACATTAATTCAAAACATTAGCACTGCTCATGGCAATGTGAGAGACAGACAAACAACTGATAAAATAATTCCCTGTGTTTGCTGCTGGATTTGGTGTGTATCTTGCAACCTGAGGACTACAAAATATTGACTGACTGCAGTACCACTTTTGGCCAGATTTTTACACAATGCTCCTGTTTTGTTTAATACTATAAATTGGCATTCACAAAATGTGGAACTTAGGCATATGTCTACATTGGGTACAGTTTGACTACACTAGTTGCTAGCTGAGTGGGGGCACTTCCAATGAAAAACAAATCTGCAAAGATCGGCGAAATCACTGCAAATGACTGATCACTCAAAGACTTTAATAACCGGCCGATTTAATCAGAAAACCAATGAAGTGGTCGGTGCCTACACAACACTAAAATACTGTATCCGTCTTCCACCTGGTATAGAAAGTTTCCATAAGTTTGGTTATAAAATAAAGATGCTCTGTTATCACACAAAACAAATGTTATTATTTTCAAAGCTGAGATAAAATGTGACCAAAATGGCCGGTCTTTCTCACCTGGTGGCAGAAGAGTGTGAATGATTGTTGCAAAGGCCTCTTGTTGTTCTATCGGAGCACTTTGCATCACCTCCAGAGCCTCTACAAAATACGTCAAAATGGTTAAAGAAGAATGGACCGTTCTTTGTGTGCGCGTGTGTTAAATTAGGACTTAAATAATGTGTGTAGATCAGGGGGGGCGGGTCCTGGCTCAAAAGTGGCCAAAATGACGTGCGCTGACATGCTGCAATACCACCCCGGGCCGATGGGGGTGGACCCAGAAGAAGAATTAGCCAATGCTAACATATAGCTGAGGGGGGTGGATTTTTTTGGTCCACTCTAGTTTACTTGCTGTGAATTTTTGAAGTCTCGTTCAAATGAATGGAGCTGGGCCGGCTGACGCATGCGCAGATGCGTTTTTTCACAATTTTCTTGTGGGCGGGACCACTCGCGGCCATTTTGGATAGCTCCAGTAGAGCAAATTTTTTGGCCCATTAGTTAGAACGGCGGATATAGGCGTGACTCTGTCCGTTAATATATACAGTCTATGGTGTAGATGGGATTCTTCCTTCTACATCTTGTTCCTCTCTACATTGAAGCCTTTCCAGACTCAGTATCCGACCCTTGACCTTAACCCTGTTCTATTGTTTTTAATGAGGGAATTTCTGCCTTGTCACTTGTCTGCGGACTGGACAGGTTTGTTTGGGTGCAGAATGGAGTCTGGGGTGGAACCATAAGTGCTGGTGTTTAGAAGAGTCCATTTAGATTGAGAGATGACCTGTGGTGTTGGTGCGGTATGAGCTCTCCGAAATTGCAGTTTGTTTCTTTTCTGAAAGCGATAACAGTGATTTGATTCTGCAGCTTTGCATTTGTTATCAAAAGAAATCAGCAAGAAATAAACCAAACTGAATAGGTTTTATCATAACCCTGAAATGGTTTCCTCAACCATGTGGTAGATCACCTTTGAGTCACTTTATCTACTTTAAGCTTGGAACTGAAGTATACCTCTTTGGGGCATCTCACTTGGTTTTATCCACTTTTACCATAAAACTGCATCTCCAACATTTGATAAAGGTCTATAATTAAAAATACAAGATGTTGTGCTCCTACATCTTAGAAAATACAAAAAAGAAAAAAATACACTGCTTGGTCCGTGTACTTTTGCGTTCAGTGATTTTTTTTTGTGAAGGGAAATGGAAAATTGAAAAAAGGCTATTTTGCATTTTCAGGCACACAGCAATATACAAAAATGACCATTTTGGTTTTTTCATTGCTTATAAGACGTATATATATTATAATAACCGGATTTGGGAACTAGAAAATGCAATAATTCACCTTTTTTTATTATGTATTTAATACATTTCGGCATCAATCGATTACCCGGAAGTGAAACAAGTTTGTTTACTCGCACGGGATTAGTATTACCCTTACCTTTATAGATCCATGGTATTACCCGTGGACCCCTGATAATGTACAAATACAGGAGGTCATTTGCGTATTTAATTATACAAAATTAGAGAAAATATGGCTGAAGTAAACAAACTTGTTTCACTTCCGGGTAATCGATTGATGCCAAAATGTATAAAATACATAATTTTTTTGTATATTGCTGTGTGCCTGAAAATGCAAAATAGCCTTTTTTCAATTTTCCATTTCCCTTCAAAAATAGAAAATGTATTGAACGCAAAAGTACACGGACCCTGCTTTCTTCAAGGAGTGAACATTACACATTAAATGCCAAATAAAACATGTTAATTTCACTTACTTTGATACCCATCATATTTGCTGCGTTTTTTCAGATCTTCAAACAGAACCTGTGAAATGCACAAAATACTTTCAGAGCTGGTTCACAGAACACAGCAGTGGTTTTAGACGAGAGGCAGCGTACCTCCAGATCCTGTGAATAATGTGAAGAGGTTTCTTCACTTTTCTCTTTGGAACGACCTGTTGGAGTAAAATCAAACTGAAGACATGGAGGCCTCTCGCCACCAGGGGGGGCTATTGGGCATGTTTAGTCACAAGAACACAATTTATATTAGATGTACCCAAGAAATCTATACTGCAAAATTAATTCTATCAATGGTTCATTTGACGATCAACATTGTAATATTATGATAATCATTATTTTTGGATTATAATATTTATTGCTGAAAATAACTACTCATTACAATTGACTAAGTAACAAAATTCTAAAGTATATTCTTATGGCCACAATATTGTTTGTAAACTGAGCTGCAACAAATGAATAAAAAAGGAGACATACAAATACATACAAATAAGATCATTATTTGGCCAGGACAAGCAAAAAGCATGTAAAACACAAGCTAGTTTATCTATCCAAGCAAGAACAATGTTTTTACCTGATTTAAAGCAATTCGGCATGGGCGGAAACACGCTCATGATCCAGAGAAGAGTCGGTGCTGAGCAGAAGTCTGAGAGGCTGAAAATGAAAGTCAGAATACTGCTGCTGCTGCTCTGGACTCAGTCTGAGGCTCCTCCCTCTGGCTCAGATCCTATTATAACACAATACGAAACAATTTCACTTTTAGATTTAAAACATATTTCCATGTTTGGTTGTGCTCCATTTCAACCTGATTTGAAAGTACCCAATGGAAAAAGTGCATATGACTTTATCAACAATGTATGTTGTAAATATCTTCAGTAAAAAAATGCCAATGAAAAGCCAATTGTATCAAACTCATTTTGTGTGTTAACTTATTCACAATATTCATATTATAGATATGTTTGTGTCTAAATCATGTTCTTTAAAGAACATAATACTGTTGGATTCAAATGTTTGTGCCTGTTTTACATAAAACATGAAATGCAAAAGGGAAAAAAACGTGTTTACTGTTGAAAAACATTGACTTGATTTTTCTCCTTGTGGGAAACATTTCTGTTGAAGAAACAAAAAAGTGAAGGATATTTATCATACAAGTGTAAAGGCACACTGCACTGTCTACAATATGTTAATGAGATTTAAAAGTACAAAACAGAGACAATATGGTGAGCATCTCTATCATGACATTGTGTGTTTGTTTCTAGATGCCCTGAACATTACATTGAGTAGTTTTAAAGTTGATTAAGTTCTGCAGTTTAAGTTCTGTTGATTCCATGAACAGTGGGTTTAAGAATGTGAACATTAGACACAATCCCAAGGTTTTTTGCACGGTGAATAACGGCTTTCAGTGAGCATTATTATAGTCCCTAATTGCCTCTTGCAAAAATCAATGCCCTTGTATAAGCCCACTGTCTGCTTTTACTTTCACTTTCATTTTGACTAATGTGTCGAAACCCCTCGGGGTCCTTCTGTTCCCGTAAATACCAGACTTTCAAGAAATCGCCTCGCACACTTTCACTTTTGGTTTTGGGCTTAGGGGGGCTTATAAAAGAGGAAGAACAGAAGCAGACTGTAAAGAAGATATTCAAGAGCATCAGCATCAGCATCAGGTAACAGCATCAGCATCAGGTAACAGCAGCACGACTGTCCAGTATGTTGCTTATGTTATTCATGTAATTTTCCTTTTTACTTAGATTTGACACAATCATGGGAAACTCACAGACCAAAGAAGGTAAGTGATTATTATAACATAATTATTGAGTGTGTAATTTAATGGCCACCAGAATGCGTGTCTGCTGTCAAACAATAGTATGTCTGAAACCACTGAATGACATCATTATGAAAGGCTGGATACCTAACTTGTTTTGTTCTATATATAGCACATGTTGGTCCCACAGAAAGACTAAAGTATAACATTCAATTCCACGGCATGCTGTCTTCAACTCATTTTAAAACATGTTTTCTTTTGTATATTTGAAAGAAAGAGCCACTGTGATTCACGATTTGACTCTGAGAGCTGTGGTTCTCTGTTTTTCACTGTTCTGTCTGAAAAGTCTGATCCAAAAGTGACAGGCTAATAATACATGCATGTAAAAACTAGTGATAGATAACGGATATACTGTAGCTACATGGACACTCCAACAGAACTAATTGTTTCTTTGGTTTGAAAGTTAAGTTGGGTTAGGGTTAGTTGCAAATTGAATAGAAAAAATATATCAGAAAGTGCACTTTATAATGGATCAGTTTTGTATAGCGCTTTTTTGGACACTCAAAGACGCTTTACACGTCATTACTCATTCACTCCAAACACGGTGTGTTCAGGTTTGTATGTAGGACCACAGAGCAGACAGAGATTGAGAGTAGTTCCAAAAAAAGGTTCATTGCACAGAAGGTTGGGTGGTGAGACAGGAGGCAGACTGGCTGGTCAAGGAGGCGGACCTGAACACAGGATAAAAAATTGTGAGTCGAAAGGACAAAAAACACGAGCTGGACAAAAACCACTGACGTGTTCTGACGTGAGACGTGGAATAATCTGGCAGCAAAGTGAAGTGGAAACCAGGCTTTGGAACACAGCAGATGATTAGTGGATGGAAGATGAGCCACGCCCCCCGTCACACTCACTCTGCAGAGAAAACAAAGGGAGGGGGAGCAGAACAAACAGATCCCTAACACAGTGGTAATAAATTACTATTGTAGCCATAGCTGCCCTGGGGCGCACTGACAGAGCGAGGCAACCAGTCTGTGCCATCGGCCCCTCCCACCACCACCAACCATTCACACACACACCAGACTCATTCTAATGTGGGGGAAGGACACAACGGTAGTTTGGCACATGCGATTTGGATCAAATGTTTGTTCTGAAACCTTGTGCAACTATAAATGTTGCTCCTTATCAAGTCAATCCTCAATCACATGTGTCACATACAGACCTAAGGAGCAAAGCAAGACGTCCCAAAACAAGGTTTATAAAGTTACTTTTGTAAGATTTACAGTAATGTGTTCATTTTTGAAGAAATTCACTGTAACTTTTTACAACAGCAAAAAGATAAAGTTTCTCTTTTTTTTCTCACTGTTTGTAATTTATTTGCAAACCACCACCTAGTATCTGAAATACAACTTGAATGTCATTGGTCTATCAGTGTGATATAATCACACATTATTACCTTACATTTTTAAAACAGTATGAGTATATTACTATTCTTATTATGATATTAGGATTTCTCTAGTATTTAAATGTATATTTAGTAGTAGTGCATTTCTGGTGTATGTGTCCCATTGAGACAATGATTCTCATTGGCCCTTATTTATGAAACTTGCGCAGTAAAGGGTGTAAATTTTGGGTGTATATTCCAAATATGCAACATCCAACGCAGGATTTATGAACGTGCTGTTAATAAATGCCGCGGCTGAAAATGAACGTGTTTATGAACGTCACGCCCAGAAATATGCAGCAACTGACCTTTTCACGCCTCAAAAAAGCCTCAAAGTGGCATCAAGTGGGCTCAAAAAACTAAATATGGAAAGAAATGACAACATCTGTAAACAGCATGGGGCCTGTAACACGCACTCCTGCAGAGGTGAGTTTAATGAAGCTTAAGCCCAAATTCAGACTGGGATGACCTCATGCTGCAGTTCTCACCCCATCCAGGGCCAGCCTATCGAGCCTCAGCCAATCACACAGCTCTGCCAGCCACTGACGGCAAAGCAGGCAGTTTAAAAGCAGCCACCTCCTACTAACCAGCCCTTCCTGAAGATCTTGACACCCACCACCTCCCTAGCACCTCCTCAAGCCCCTGCTCCGGCTCCTGCTCCACCTTCACCCCATTCGCACCATGCCTCTGCCCCTGAGGATCTGAGATCATCTTCAGCAGCAATGATCTTCCCTCTGCAAGTGTCACTGCCAGGGTCAATGCTACAAAAAAAAATCTTTCTAAATGTATTGATGTGTCTGTCTTGGTCTCTCCAGATTAAATTCATGTTTGTTTAAAAATAGATATACACTATATCATGTCAAACAGTTGACAAATGTATTGGGTCAATGGTTAGAATTGATTAATTTATGCCTACTGGTGAAAAATAATGGAGCGACAGTCAGCAGGATTATAAAAGAAAACATGTATATTCTCTCTTTAACTGTTTGTTTTTTGTCTTTTCAACAGTCATCAAATATGGTAAGTTGAAATGCAACTAATCAATCACTCCATTCATTGAAAATGAATAGATATTTTTTAAATCTAATGTCAAATTATCTAAAAAAATATGAAAATAATTTAATGATTGACCTAAATGTGTGCTTGTGTAATACTTTTTATTGATCACTGTGAACAAATTGCAAATCAGTGCTGATTGATCAATTGATAGATGATTTAAAGAAAATAAAGTTTTTAACAAATTCTATATTCATATTTTATATTATCTCAATCATTTATATGATTATATGTTTTGTTTCCATAGTTGAAGCGCCTAAACGTAAGTATTTGTTTCTCTCATTCTAAACATGTACGGCAGTGGCTTAAAAAGTACTACTGCAAATGGAACTTTGTGAAATCTACTCTCAGTATAATTACATTCTGTGAGGACTGACAGCTGTGTTTAGAGTGTACTGGTCCCTACACAGCATCAAGAAGTTTAAAAAGGTTTTACACAGATTTCCCAAACTATGAACACCGCAAACTTACCAAGACACGGCTGTCGACCTAAACTAACAACCAGAACAAGGAGAGAACTGATCAGAAAGGCGACCATATTGCTAAGGTTTTGAATGTGGAGGCCCAAAGTAGAGTCAAGTGACCGATAACAGTTTAAAAAGTTTAATAAAAAAAAAGGGGAGCGGGCAGCGGAGGCAGGCATGAGGAACTTTGTTGTTTAACATGTGCAAATGTTCAAGTTGTATTGGTACTTTTGCAAGGCACTGTGTTTTGTTTTCTCTAAGCTGAATAAAATGTCTAATATTTGTGCTTTTATATGTCCTTAAAGCTCCTCCAACTCCAAGTAAGTCTTTACACTACGAAGTATCTCATGAAAAAAACAACTTAAATACGGCTAAATAACTCCTCTGTGTTTGTGTTCAGTGTTTGATAAACCTTGGAGAACGATTGACTGGGGGTAAGCGTAACATCACACTGTCTCATGACGTATTTTTACCTACATCAGGGGGTTATGTCTTTGCAAGGGTTTGTCTGTCTGCAGCAAAACTTAAAGAATAATAATAATGCATCTGTTTTATATAGCGCTTTTTTGGACACTCAGGAACTTTACATGTCATTATTCATTCACTCCAAACACAGTGATGATAAACTACTGCTGTAGCCACAGCTGCCCTGGGGCACACTGACAGAAGTGAGGCAACCAGTCTGTGTATGGAGAAAGTCTCGAACCCACGACCTTCAGGCTCAAAGGCCAATTCTCTACCAACGGAGCTACTGTCGCCCTAAAAGTGGTCATTGAACATGTACAGACACCGCTTTCATGCGATCTCGTAAACTCAGAAATATCTACTGCATGTATTCTTCTGATTTCCCAGGACGGGGTTCTGGAGTTTTTTCGGGGGGCCTAATTCACACAAAACCCTGAGACATGATAGGATTTTATATTTGACACCGTTTTTATTTGTATTTCATTTGAGTTTGCAAATTGTCAAAATGAACACTTTGGTTGTCATGCAGACATAACTCAGGTCTTCTGGAAGAGTTGAAGGAGTACAAGCCAGAAGCTGAGGGCGTGGAACACTTGCGGGTCCTGGTTTACGGCCCTGTTGGAGCAGGAAAATCCAGCCTCATCAACTCCATGAACACTGCTCTCATAGGCAGGATGGCTATTCCAGCGGGTGTCAATAACACCCAGGCAGACGAGGGAAGCTTCACTCTCCAGGTACTTCTTTTGCCGATCCTTATGTCGGAGTTAACACAATATAGCTACGCATTGACACGGCATCAGAGAACCTAATCGTTAGGCTTCTTCAAACACATGCACACCTGTCCATGGCTCGGCTCCTTGGTGTGTGACAGTGGGAGGGGAGGAACAAAAGTTGGCAACGCTTTTTTACAGGCAGGAATATGCTAAAAAGAAAATAGAAAGAAAGAAAAAGAAGAAAATACTTTAAATATTAAAATAGCATTTTTCTGGACACTCAAAGACACTTCACATGTTGTTCTTCTTTCTTGAAAGAACACTGTAGCAACAGCTTCCCTGGGGCACACTGACAGAAGCGAGGCATCTAGTTTATGTGCCATGAACCTTTTCGATCACCATCAACCATTCACACACACATACAGTACCATGCTCTTTCTAGGTAATGTGGGTGGCCGTGTCTTGCCTATGGACACAACAACATTTTGCCACTTTACAGCCACAACTAACCTTGCCTGCAAGCTGAATTCTCGCGGTATTTGAGTTCACAAACACTCGAGAATACATCTTGTCCCGCTCCCGCCAACCCTTTTCGAGTCGAACATCTAGGTGTTCAAGCCAATCACGCGCCAGTCTGGGGGTTTAGGGCGGGATATCCGGGTTTGACGAAAGCAAGAAGTGCCGGTCTGAAGCAAAGCAAACATGGCTACGCAGGACGCGTAGCTGAGGCTATCAAGTCAGTTTTAGCAGAATCTCCAATTTCTTTTTTGAAAGATGAACAGCGAGAGGCGCTTTGTGCATTTCTGGACGGCAAAGATGTTTGTGCATTTTTACCTACGGGTTTTGGCAAGAGATGACGACATAATGTTACCGGGATTGGTTTAAGTCAAACCTTGGTAGGCGGGCACACAGCGTCACCTCGCCCAATCAGCTTGAAGTATTCTGCTGCTTATCCGTCCTTTCCCCGAAAGGATTCTCCTGCAGAAGTCCCAGATTGATATTGTGGAGAACGCATTAGAGTTCTACACAATCATCAATCTGGCTCTTGCCAGGTTAAGCCACAACCACCCCACTGGAAACTAGTGATATTTAGTGTTCCTAGAGGTCTCCCATCACAGTACTAACCAGGCCCTGCCCTGCACAGCTTTGAAGATCTGACGGGATCTAGCTTTCACTGGCAAGTTTGCCGACTTACAAGGGATAGCTCCCACACTCACTCATACAATATTGAGTATATTCCACTCCATAGCTCCTCAGAATTATGGAGCAGAATTCCCCACTTTGTTCAATTGTCTATATCTTTCATGAACCACTTCCTGTCAAAAATAGTTTTTTTGCGTCTAATTTTAAAGGGGGTGATTTATTTTTACCTCCTGTATTAACCCAATTTTGTAGCTACTGGTGGATTCTCATTTTTTCATTGTTTTAAGATGTAATCCTTTCAGTGGTTACTTGGGATTCATTTGCCAACAGGGATTTCATCAACAAAGATACATCATACAAAGTTGATGACAACACAGTCTGTTAGAGCCACAACCAATAACAGTGTTCACTACCTTTTGAATACCTTTGAAATAATTCATCTTTTTTAATCAATCATTTAGTGTAGTATTCTTTCCTACTTGCTTATTTTGTTTTTGCTGTTGAAACTGTAGTTCACTTATCAGCAATGATTTGAAATTGCATTATTTTACTGATGCCCCAAGCTGTAAATCCCAGAGTTCTTTGTCATGTCAGAGCTATACATTAAGGAACACAACAACATATTACTTTCTTTCTGTCTAGTACAAAACTCACCGAATCCGAAAAGGACGAGGAAGTTCCAGGAGTTATTTTCCTATTGTCTTCAATGACATCATGGGGCTGGAGAGTGACCAGAGTGTGGGCGTCCGGACTGAAGATATCAAACTGGCCATGATGGGACACGTGAAGGAGGGCTACAAGGTAACACACACGTCACACACAAGCCCAGTCCACAGTTCTGGAAACAAAGATTGGCCGCCACACTTCTGCCGGTCTGCCCCAGGACAGCTGTGGCGACACCAATAGTTTAGCACCACATTTTTGGAATGATTGAATAATGCAAACTTAATAAATTCACTACGGCAACCACTGCTCCTGACAGTGGCCCTAGCCATGATGAAGGACAAGTCAAATGCAGAGGAAAAAAATCTTAATTAAGACTAAAACTAATTTGTAAACGCTCTCTGCCGGCCTGACCACCTCACACGTTGTGCATCTGTGCAATAACTAACGTAAGAATGTGCAATATAGAACCACATGTACCCACTGCTTCTTTATTACATTTTGTAAGATAAAGACTTTATAGTTACTTCTTTTTATGCTAAGTTAGAGATTTAACTTAATTTTAGTATAGAGTTATAGTTCATTTAATTCATCTTGCGCTCATCATTCTCATCATCCTTTTTTATTTTTATTATGCCTTACTCTATTCCTTACCTCTCTTCTTTGACTGTTGCACCAAGAGCCAAAGCCATTTCCTAGTCTGTGACGTCCTGTTACTTACCTGGCAATAAAAATGATTCTGATTCTGTACCTGGTGATACAACAATGAGGTTTCCCCACAGTGGGACAAAGGATCTCTTAATCGTAATCTTTTAATCATCCGTTGATGCCACACTAGACATTAATCACAAAAGTTGACTTAGTGACTAATGGCTAGAAGCCCCAAGCATAAAGGTAGCTCCCAAATGATTCCAATCATTAGTTAAAAATCTCAGATGACTAGTTTTGCTTGAAGCATGGTCTGTGTACCTTCCATTCATTCCAATTCCGTTTTTCCAAATTAAAAAAACAAATTTAGGGCTTTTTCAGTTTTCTTATATGTGAAAACAGAAGAAATTTGCATTGAATCATGGGTGTCAAATTGGATTTCGCATAGTTCTCTTTAAAAAGGAATTTTGTGCAAACGTCACAATATTAAAAATCAAATAACTGTAAAACCAAAGTACAGAAAATCATGAAAGTTTGTTTCTGTCTGTCTACATCTGGTCTGTTGGATACTCTGGTTTGTCCATCTTCTTTCGTCTTAACTTTTTAATTGGCCGATGCCTTTATGATTTTTGTTGGTTGCAGAGAACTTTTTTATTTATATTTTGGCTTTAGAATTTTTTTTTCTTTGTTTGAATTATCATTACCATGAGTTGTCGGACCTTGAAATAATGCAAATAAAGACAATAATAAATTAACATTATTTTCCAGTTGATCCGGAAGCAATACCTTTCTCATAGTTTTTCTTGTAACACTGGCATTTAGTGGGCAAATGTAATCATTGCAGCTTCTGAAAAGGAGTCTTTAATTCTCGTTCCAAATATGGTTTTAAATTCATACCATTCCATCTCCTTGCTTAACTATGATATGAGAGCATCCTACTGCAACAACACAGGCATATTCCTGTTGTTAGTATATGTTTTAAGGAATCCTTAAATTGAATACAAGTCTGTTAACATCTAAAAATAATTTACGAAAGGACTGCACTTTATGCGTAGATCACAGGCTATGTACATAGAAAATCCCAGTTTTCAATATATATATATATATATATATATAAAATCGTTTGACATATATATATATATATATATATATATAATCGTTTGACATATACATACAGTCCTAGGACTCAATCTAAGCAGCTGTAGGTGACAATGTTGTGATTGTCTCTGTTCTAGTTCAACCAACTGTCTCCACTCTCTCCAAGTGATAAATACTACAACCCCAACCCCAGACCAGATGACAAGGTGCACGTCCTGGTTCTCCTGCTGTCCACCAACTGTCCAGAAACCAACTCCCCCATGATTCAGAAAATGAAGGAGATTCGACAGGCTGCAAGAGATTTAGGTTTGTAGAAACACAGTATTCTACACAGCCTTATGAATACTCCGAAAAACAGGTTTACAGCATACAGTGTCACCTGATCATGTCTGGCTCCAACAACACAACAATGTCGCAAAGCTTTTAGGATGTTACAGCAAGAACAAGGTTTAACAAATGTTAAGCCTTTATCATTTGAACTATATGCAGTGTCTTGAATAATCAATCAATCGATCTGTATTCGTATAGAGCTTTTCCTACAAAGGGAAACACAAAGCACTTCACTTTCCACAACACACAAGGCACAAATTCAATGTAATTCAATTCACTTTATTCTTGTATAGCCCTAAGTCATCTCAGAGGACTTAATATAAACATTGAAATCAACAACACAGATCAGAGAATGAACACTCAAGACACAAGAAATATAGAACACATACTGTATGTGTTGGTCCATAGGGAGAGACCAATGTTCATGAATATTGATAAATGTCCATACATGTTGTAGAATGTTAAAGTGTCCTTGATCATCACCACAGTCCTTCTTGTTAGACACTAACTGTCCAACAGACCCTCTTGCATGGGCAAGGAAAAACTCTAAAACCCAGTGGGAAAAAGTGAGAAACTTACCAGCTTAGACTGCTGCCCCCGCGACCCGGCAACGGATGAAGCGGAAGAAAATGGATGGATGGACTTACCAACCTAACCATATGCTAAGAGGACAGGAATGTAGAGACTGTGTCTGATTCCTTTACGTGGATGGGGAGCTGATTCCACAGTAAAGGAGCATGGTTGCTAAATGTTCTACCACAGTCTGAGTTTTTTTGACACTTTAGGAACCACAAACTTCTGAGACTTTAACCCTCTGACTTCAAGACAATAGACAATTAGTTTATCTCGAAGGAAAAGGGACTGAATACCTTTTTCTTTTAAATGTCCACTTTGTGTTGGTCCTTCAAGGAAATCCAATGAGAGCTTTGATAGTGAAAACAAGAGGTTTCTTGAAGTTTTTTATGGTAAAAGACTGACTGCTGTGTTGCATGTGGATTGTTTTCAGGGATCCCCCAGATTGCTGTTGGCACACACATTGATGAAATCTGTGATCAAATCGAAAAGGATGTCAAGAATGTCTACATGAGCAAGTCTCTAAAGAAAAAGGTGGGTTAACATTACTATTGCTAGTTTATTTGATAATTGATCTAACATTTGTTTATAAGTTTGTGAAATACTTATGTAGTCTTTTCAAGGGTTTTCATTGAGGAACAAGGATGGGCTTTAGCGATAGGCCAAAGTAACTATACTCAGTGAGGGTACATGCATTTGTACTGTGGGAGCTGAGGTTTAAGATAATGTTTGATCTTGGGACCCAATTCTGTTATTTATCAGTCAAAGCATAAAACAGAGACAGACATTCTCCATGTAGATGAGTCTAATGCCAGGCCGTGGAAAATAATAATCAACAAAGATTTTAATCAAAATCACCATCCATTTGTAAGTTGGAGGATCAGACTGTATCTGAGTTTTAGTGATTTCCAGAAACATATGATGACACAGTGGCTGAGTGACTTGTGGTCAAGCGTCACAGGGGCCACAACCCAGGAGTCTTCTTATATGAAGTTCACGCACACACAACGTCTGTTATTAATGAAAGAAACACTTGATGTGACAAAGTACAACCTAGTCAGTCAGGAAAATCTTTAGAGGGAGTTGAAAGTTTGTGTTACCCAAGAGCGGCCCCAAAACACAGATCTCAGCTCTAGGGTAGATCTGCATGAAGGTATTGATCAAAATACCAGTTACACACAGACAATACACAGACAATGCACAGAGACCCTGTGTCAGTAAAACAGTAGAGTTTGGTTTCAGTTTGGCCTGTTTCAGGTGAAAACGCAAGCATTGTGAATATTATTAACAATAATTAGTGCTGTCATGTGATAAACATATTTCATCACAATTCAACGAATTAGTGTTATAGTTAACTCATGATTAATTACACATGTCCCTTGATTTGGTTTGAACAGGGATTGGATAAAGCAAAAATAAAGAAAGCTTATTCTATTTCCCTCCAAAAAGAAAATATTTGGATTGTCTAATATAAGCTACTCTGTCTCTGCAAGTTTTTGGCATTGCTTTTTTGTATAAAAATATTTACCTTGGTAGAAATGACGGTAGCACTATATAACTACACCTTATTTAGGCTTAATACATGTTTAAATAACACTTAATCATGAACAATTCATTAATTAAGTGTGATTAACATGAACTACTACAGATAATAAATGCTTAACTCATAATGAATAAACCATTTGCTACTACATATATAGATGGTTTGTTACACCATGATTGAACCAAATGTTAACAATGAATAATTGTATACTTCATTAGTGTACACTATTTACACTTTATTACACATTTGTTGAAGACCCTTACGTGTGACAATTAATCATTTATTAATACTGCAATGCATGACTATTAGTCAGTTACTAACAGTTAGTTAAGAGTCTTTGTGAGAAAAAACACAAGGATGACTAACGTTTTCGTACAACAATAATAAGCCATGAGACATGAATACAGAATATATATTCATCTTTTAAATTGCTTTACAAAGCTATAACAGGGCCATAACAATGAAATAAAATAAAATGCCTCCATATTGGCCCCATGAATTAAAAACACATCTTTGCAAAACATGCACAAACATACTGTACATTAACATTAAAAATGTAATTCAAGTAAAACAGGAAAAACACTGAAGAATGGAGGTTATTTTATGGTTGGGGACACTATCTTCAATCCTTGTGTTTTTTCTCACAAAGACTCTTAACTAACCGTTAGTAACTGACTAAAAAGTCATGCATTGCAGTATTAATAAATGATTAATTGTCAGTGTGTAAGTGTCAGTGTAAATAGTGTACACTTTACAAAAGCTCACAAAAACTCTTAACTGTTAGTAACTGACTGAATAAATCATGCACTGCAGTATTAGTTTATAATGAAATATACAATTATTAATCATTAACATGTGGTTTAATCATGGTTTAACAAATCATCTATATATGTAGTAACAAATGGTTACTTTAATAATCATGAACAGGTGAAGTACTTGAAGATGTATTCATTATGAGTTAAGCATTTATTAACTGTAGTAGTTAAGTAGTTATTAAGTGTTAATCACTTAATTAATGCATAGTTCATGATTAATTAAGTGTTATTTAAACATTTATTAGGCCTAAATAAGGTATAGTCATTCTAAAGTGTTACCGAACGGACTAGAATCGTCTAATTAACGCTACTCTAGTGTTTATGTTTTTTTTATTCGACTCAGTTAAATGTTTTTTTGCCCGTCTAATGTTACTAGTTACTAACAAACACCATGTGTAAAAAAAGTGTATTTTGCCAAAAAGAACGTTAAAGCTGCACTGTAGCGTTTAAGCTACTGGGACAGCCTCTCACCAGGACAGGAAACAAACAGAGGTCCAAATGTTGCAGATTTGCACAAAAGATGTCTTATTTATTTGGGCAGCATCCCCCCAGGCACACAACAGGAACACACCGTTCAAATGGAATCCTCCTCTTTTTTTTTTTTTTTTTTTTTTTTAACTTTATTACATTTTAATACAATTACAAGAATGAAAACATAAGAGAAAGAAATAAAACAAAATTATATTCGAAATCTAATATATACGGTTTACAAATACAGTAGGTGTTAAGGTGGGAGGGGTTGGGGGGGAGGGGGAGAGTAAAAAAAAATAAAATAAAATTATTCGGGTTGCGTTTTTTATTGTTTCAGTTCAGCCTTGGTTTGCGGAGTTTCTGTATATGTATGTGAATGTGTATGCAATGCAGGGGTGCATAGGTGCTATGTCGAATGTGGTCAAATGAATCTATATATTTAAAAAAAAAATAATAATAATAATAATAAAAAAAATACATAAAAAAATAAAAAAAAGGGGTTTATATATATACACATCATCATCGCTATCACTATTATCATCGTCATTGCCACAATCATTACCCATTGCTAATTTTATCTTGCTGGGCTTTGGTGAAAAATAATAATAGTAGAATAAATGACAATAATAATAAATCAATAATTAATATTAACAAAAATAAACAAACAAATCATAATAATAATGAAAAGCAGAGCGTGTTGCGAGACGGGCTCACTCAACAGGCCCTGCTTGTCCTCTTGTCAGTCCTGTGAGGTGCATTAAAAAAACAAGAAATTTGTGGGGCCGATGAGGTGGGAGATACCCCACATCGGGCCCACTTCTTGTCTGCCCTGTTGTTCTCTATGTTATGTATATTTGATTTGTTCATTTATTTTATAAACACAACGTTATATATATTCTTTTTCTTTCCTTCTTTCCTCTCTTTTCCAGTACCTGATTGTAATCTTGGATCTAATGTGTATAGTTTGTTCAGATATCCAATTTAAGTGAGAGAGGAAATGTAAATAATAATAATTATAATAATAATTATAATAACAATTATAATAACAATTATAATAACAATAATGACAATAACAACAACAACAGCGACGTGAGGAAGTAAGTAAACAAATAAATAAATATTTGGAAATAAATGATCCTAAATTCATATATAAATAGTAATAGTAACTGATTTTAACTTATCTATTTGGAGAGTGTGTGCGAGAGTGTATGTATGCGTGCATGTGTGTGCAGTTGTGTATGTACATCTGTTTATATGTGAAGGATTTATAAGAATGTGAGTGGCACTTTTAGTCTCTTTGGTATATTAATTTGTGGTTGGGTGTTGGGGATTAAATTGATGTTGAGAAATTATTGGGGTTGATGTCAAAATGACTAATGAATGGTGACCAGGAGTATGTAAAGGAAGTCATGTCATCATCATGGCGAGCTGCTATTTGAGAGGATGTTATGTATTGAGTAAGAGAGTTGGTCCAATGATTGATGTTGATTGTGTGTTTTGTTTTCCAGTTTTGGAGTATTATTTTCTTGGCGACAGTTAGGGATGTTAGTACTCTTTTTATACAGTGGCCCAAACCAAAACCACCCCCCGCCCAGGGACACAACAATGTAGCCCTACCCTATTTACAAAATATTTATCTTATTTATATTAATTTATGCAGATATATTATAATCATAATTTATAGTAATTTGAACTTAGTGGTGGTGTTTGTTAACAGGCGTGGTATTTGAGGTATGTATATATTATGTTTAGTCCCAATGAAACACCCCTCTCTTGGAGGATCATGGTGGAGCCCAGCTGATTGCTCAGTTGGGTGCACCTGGCATGCACTGGGATGGGCGCGCCTCCAGCCAGCTCCTCCACCAATCACCTTCCAAGAGGGGAAAAGGGAAAGTTAGGGACAGGGAATATAAACAAAGCTAAATATTTCAAAATAAAACAGGAAGGATACACCTGTGGGTGAGGAGTGGGAACTACTCCTTCACATTTCCTCCCCCTTCGGAAGACACGACCTCCTGGCCGCGGGACAGGAAGTCTGCCACGGTGTTTTGCTTCCCCGGCAAATAACTAATGTTGAATCGGTAGGGCTGGAGAGACAAGAACCATCTTGTGATCCGACTGTTGGTGTCCTTCATAGACTCCAGCCATTGGAGGGCTCGATGGTCTGTTTCGAGGGTGAACTCCCGCCCCAGGAGGTAGTACTTGAGGGAGTCAATCACCCACTTAATGGCCAAACACTCCAGCTCCACAGTCGAATAGCACATCTCCCTTGGGAACAGTTTTCTGCTCACATAAGCCACCGGTCTCTTGTCTACTCCTTCCCCTTGCAGCAGGACTCCACCGACCCCTCTGAGTGAAGCATCCGTCTGAACGGTGAAGGGCAGGCTGAAGTTCGGGCTCTGGAGAACAGGCTCATGACAAAGTGCATTTTTCAGGTCTTGGAAAGCACTTTCCTGTTCCTCTCCCCAAGCAAATTTTGACTGGCTAGCACTGGTGAGGTCAGAGAGAGGGGCAGCCCGAGCTGAGAAATTCCAGATGAAACGCCGATACCAACCCACTAGGCCTAGGAATGAGCGGACCTGCTTTCTGGTGGTTGGTCTGGCAGCCACCCTCACCGCCTCCACTTTGTCCTTCACAGGCCGTATCACTCCACCTCCCAAGATATGGCCCAGGTACTGCAGTTCTTGCCTGGCCAGGGAGCATTTTCGTGGGTTTGCCGTCAAGCCCGCCTGATTGATTCGTTGCAGGACAGCCCCTAAATGTTGGAGATGTTCCTCCCACGAGTTACTGTAAATCAGAACATCATCGAGGTAGGCTGCCGAGAAGGACTCCATTCCTGACAAGACTTTGTTCATTAGCCTTTGAAATGTGGCAGGAGCTCCGTGGAGTCCAAAGGGCATTTTTGTAAATTGCCACAGTCCCTGAGGGGTCCTGAAGGCTGTGAGGGGCTTGGCAGCATCCGTGAGAGGGACTTGCCAGTACCCCTTGCACAAGTCCAGCGTACTCACAAACTGGGCCTGACCCACCCGCTCTATGAGGTCGTCAAGCCTGGGCAGAGGATAGGCATCAAACTTTGATTGTGCATTTACCTTGCGGAAGTCAATGCAAAACCGGATACTTCCATCTTTCTTGATAACCAGGACCACTGGGTTACTCCATTCACTGGTTGATGACTCTATTACTCCCAGCTCAAGCATGACCTCAATCTCCTCCAAGAGCACGGGCACCATCCTCTCCGGGATACGATACATCCGCTGCCGTATCGGAGTCTTGTCGATCAGATGAATATGGTGTTGCACCAAGTTTGTGGACCCTGGCTTGTCTTGAAAAAGACCCGGGGGAAAAATGGCTGCCAGTTCTTGTTGCTGTGAGGAAGAGAGATGGGACAGGTCAATTTTGGCTGAAGTGGGCCTCGCTGGGGTAAACTCACCCTCCTCGTCTTCCTCTTTCACCGCCCTGACATAGAACTGTGAACAAGGAATTGGGTCGCGGGTTTTCCACTCCTTTAGCAAGTTAATGTGAAAAGTTTGTTTTGAGTTTTTCCTTTCTGGGATTTCTATCTCATAAACAGTGTCACTTTGCTTTCTTAAGACTTTGTAAGGTCCTTTCCACTTTGCGAGTAACTTATTCTCTGAAGTAGGCAACAATAAAAGAACTTGCTGACCTGGTGAGAAGACCCTCTGCCTTGCCGCACGATCATACCACGTTTTCTGGTTGAGCTGTGCCTTCTCCATCTCTCCCCTCACCAGCTTCGTTGTCCGCTCCATCTTATCCCGCATTTCGAGGACATAGGAGAGTATGTTGGAAGTCTCCACCTTTTTGCCGATCCAAGACTCTTGCAACCCGTCCAGGGGACCCCTCACCTTCCTGCCATAGAGGAGCTCGAAGGGCGAGAACCCTGTGGAAGCCTGAGGAACCTCACGGTAAGCAAACATTAAATAAGGCAACCATTTGTCCCAGTCTTTTCCACTGATTGACACCACTTTTTTTAGCATGCTTTTCATAGTCCTGTTGTATCTCTCCACAAGTCCATCAGTCTGGGGATGGTAGGGGGTGGTCCGGATTCCCTTAATACCCAATAACCGGTAAACTTGCTGAAGAGTGTTAGACATAAAATTAGTTCCCTGATCTGTCAATATTTCTGAGGGAATGCCTACCCTAGAGAACAGTTGGAGGAGACAATGGGCGATTTGCCTAGCCGTCACATCTCTTAACGGGAAAGCTTCAGGGTAACGTGTACTGTAGTCACAAATAACCAGGATAAACCGATTACCCGCTTGTGTCCGATCTAGCGGTCCCACTATATCCATAGCTATTCTGCTAAAAGGAACATCAATAATGGGAAGTGGCTGAAGGGGAAACTTTGGGATATTTTTGTTAGCAGATAGCTGGCAGGTTGGACATGATTGACAGTATTTCTGCACCTGGGCTTGAAGTCCTGGCCAATAAAACCTACTGGCTATCCTGTCATAAGTCTTCTTGGACCCCAAATGACCCGCCCACGGTATGTTATGCCCCAACTCCAGCACCTGTTCACGCAAGGACCGTGGAACCACTAACCTCTCCGTTTGAGTGTCCCCAGAATGGTGAAACAGCCAACCCTCCCTCATGACATAACCTTCAGTCTGGGATGTGTTAATGGACTGCTTTTGTGCTTCCCTGAATGCCTCTTGCAATGACTCATCCTGCCTCTGGAGCTGGAAAAAATCCACAGACATGTTATCTGCTTTCTCAGGCTTTGGTACATGCTCTGCCAACATTTTAGCTGTACCTGTCATTTTCTCCCTTCTCTTTTGGCACCTACTTTTTCTGGGCTTGAAAGTGCCAGTGTTTGGTACCTCAGAGTCAAAAAAAGGCAAATGACATAGGCCATTGTTATCTGTCTGACTGGGTTCTTTGTTTGGCTGACCCAAAGCCGGTACTTCAGGCTCCCTCTGCACAGCCTCCCTGTCTCCCCCAGGTCCCCCTTTTGCCATACTTTGTGACCTGGTCACCAGACAGACAGGTTTACAAGACTGAACGATGTCTGTCAAAATGGGAATGTCCTGCCCCAAGATCACCTGGTGGGCTAGGTTGGAGACTACCCCCACTGTTAGCAGATACGTTTGCCCCGCCACCTCAACATACACTATGGCGGTCGGATAAATCTTGTGATCCCCATGAACACAGGATATGCCAATACTTGGTCCCACAAACTGCCCCTCACCCTTCAAAATCGACGGACTGACAAGGGTTTGGACACTTCCTGTATCAAGCAAAGCCTGAGCTGGCTCCCCATTTACTGTCACCTTCATAAGTTGCCGTTTGCCTTCACCCTGAACCTCCTCTCTTTCTGGTCGAGGGACAGTACACCAATACTGACTTAGCGTTCCTTGATGGACAATTAGGCTTTATATGCCCTTCCTGACCACAAGCGTAACACACAAGGGGCTGAGCTAGGGAAATGCCCTTGCTAGACGATCCACTTTCACCCTTAGGTCTACTGGACCCTCCCCGCTGAACCGGACCAACACCCCCACCAGAGCCCACAGACTTACCCTCCGATGCGCTGCCCCTGGACATCCGTTCAAGCCTGAAGGTCTTTGGTCCACGCCTGGCAGATAGAAAGTTCTCCACCAACTCCGCGGCTTCACGCCCAGAGGTGGGATTGCGCTCCTTCACCCAGACCCTCAGCTCTGGTGATAGTGAACGATAGAACTGTTCCAAAACAAGGGCTTCACCAAGTTGCTCCTTCGTCTTTTTCTCCGGCTGCATCCACTTCAAATATAAGTCTTTGAGGCGATTATAAAACTCTCTTGGAGTTTCCCCCGGCTGCAGGTCTGGCTCACGGAAGCGCTGGCGATAGACCTCTTCATTTATCTCGTACTTTATCAAAACTGCCTCCTTCACCTTCTTGTAGTTGCAGGATTCCTCACAATCCATGGCCACATAGGCTGCCCGGGCCCTTCCCGTCAGATAAGGGACGAGCCTCACTGCCCACTCGACCACTGGCCATTGATATGCGGTCGCTAGGCGTTCAAACGTGGTGAGATATTGCTCAATATCATCACCGTCCTCTAGCTTTGGAATCACTGACTGGGCCCAGCCTCTCCCCGAATGCTCCCGTAGCGTGGGAGATTGGGGCTCCACTTCTTCCTGTTGATGTACATGGGGGTGTTGAGGACCACGCCTCGCAACTTCGGTCAGGCCCTCTCTGAGTCGGTGAACCTGTACCTCCATCTCCTGCCATCGTTCCTCCTGCTTCTGCGTTTCTTCATTCCAACGCTTGCTCAGGTCAGACTGGAACGTAAGACATTTTCGCAACATGCAAACTAGGGTTTCGGAGTCTGCACCCATAAGTGTCTCTGCCTTGGCGGGCTCTCCTCCAGCAGCTCCGCCCCCTTCGGAATCACTATCTGGGGTGATTTCCGGTTCTGCGGGTTTTGGTACCTTTTTCGGCCCCATCCTCGTCCTGTGAGTCTCAGCAGATTGGCACGACGATCCCACTTCTGACACCACGTGTAGCGTTTAAGCTACTGGGACAGCCTCTCACCAGGACAGGAAACAAACAGAGGTCCAAATGTTGCAGATTTGCACAAAAGATGTCTTATTTATTTGGGCAGCATCCCCCCAGGCACACAACAGGAACACACCGTTCAAATGGAATCCTCCTCTTTTTATACAGTGGCCCAAACCAAAACCACCCCCCCGCCCAGGGACACAACAATGTAGCCCTACCCTATTTACAAAATATTTATAACTATTTACATCTTTAATTTATGCAGATATATTATAATCATAATTTATAGTAATTTGAACTTAGTGGTGGTGTTTGTTAACAGGCGTGGTATTTGAGGTATGTATATATTATGTTTAGTCCCAATGAAACACCCCTCTCTTGGAGGATCATGGTGGAGCCCAGCTGATTGCTCAGTTGGGTGCACCTGGCATGCACTGGGATGGGCGCGCCTCCAGCCAGCTCCTCCACCAATCACCTTCCAAGAGGGGAAAAGGGAAAGTTAGGGACAGGGAATATAAACAAAGCTAAATATTTCAAAATAAAACAGGAAGGATACACCTGTGGGTGAGGAGTGGGAACTACTCCTTCACATGCACTAACTGACTTTGTGACATTTTCGAATGTGAGCGCTGGCCTCGCTCTTTTTGGTCCCCCTTCCCCCACTCACGGAGCTTTCGTCCCCCACTACCCTCCTCCCACTCAGCCTGTGCTCATGTGCTAATTGTTTACGGAGCTAGCGTCTCACAATATGGATCTCACATTTGAACGTGGTGTGGCCATAGAATGATAGAACCGGGAAGCACGAAGGAGCAAGACTTTCTTTTGGCTGTTTCGCTGAGTAAGCAGTAACCGGTAACAAAGACACGACGAGTTTCAGGTTAGTCTCTGCCGCTTGTTTACCTCAGCTGTCTGTGCTAACAAGAGACCTGTAGATTTTCACAAGAAAGTAGGGGCCAGTGGTCCGCTGTGATTGGTCACAATGTGGTCCTGAAACAAATTATCTTCCTTGTTGCACAAAAACTTGATCTAAACTAAAATGACACGCCAGCACAAATCTGCGCTTCTTATTCTTCAAAAGGAAGTATATCCCAATGCACTGCATGGATATGGATTGAATTTTCATAATGAATACAAAAATAGATTGAGGCAATGCAGCTTTAATTGCGCCATTACAATGACTTTTTCAAAATCAAACCAAGGAAAGCCTGTGGACCAGATAACATCAGCTCCAGGCTCCTTCGCCCCTGCGCAGATGAACTCTGCGGAGTGATGGAGCGCGTCTTCAACCTAAGCCTCAGGCTGAGGTCGGTACCACAGCTCTGGAAAACGTCCTGTGTGGTACCAGTGCCCAAGAAACCACGGGCCAAAGACCTCAGCGATTTCAGGCCGGTGGCTCTAACATCCCACTGCATGAAGACACTGGAGAGACTGGTCCTGGGACATCTCTGCTCCACTCTAATGGTGCTTTCAGACCGGATCATGCGTTGCGTTGGGTTTCAATGCAAAGTCTATGGTGGCACGAGTTCGACCGTCACAACGCACGGACCTCTCGGCACGCACGAACGGACTGTTCAATAATGACGCACGGACTTGGCGGGAAAGTGAAAAGGGAGGAGCAGGAGCGAAAAATCAACGCCCACAGGAGATGGATTCTGCTCATCCTTTCCTTGGGACGTTCGTGCGACAACCAATCAGAGAGCCGCAAAGTGGTCACGGGGACATTAGCGGACTGAGCGAGCAGACTGAAAATACTCATAAACAGCCAAAACAGGACCCACACCAGGCTTCACCAGAACTCAAACCAGGGCTGACAATGGGGGACTCTGTGCTTGTGAAAATATGGGTTGTCATGCTCCTGTGAACTTATGCAACTGCTTCCAGTGTGTGCGCCGATGCGGAAATACCGTTGAATAATATGAAAACACGTATGGCGCACCTCCGTGAACACATACTACTGTTATATAAAGCCCGTGGAAAGTCTGTGAGCAAAGACACGCTGCAAAGCTGCATATTGGAGAAGATCTGTACACAAGAAGCCGCTAGCATAGCTCTGTTAGCATTAGAGCCGGCCGGCTACTTCCGGTACTTCCGGCTCGCGTCAGGACGTTCTGGTGTGAAGTCCTCTGCGTCTGAAAACTAGAGAATGCGCGTCTGGTGAGCGGTTGGCGGTCTGAAAGCCCCATAAGCCCAGCGATGGACCCGCTGCAGTTCACCTACAGGCCGGGCATCGGAGTTGAGGACGATCATCTCCCTCCTCCATCGCTCGCTGTCCCACCTAGAGAAACCCGGCTCCACTGTGAGGATCTTCTTCGATTTCTCCAGTGCCTTCAACACCATCCAGCCGAGGCTTCTCAGGGACAAGATGGACACAGCTGGAGTGGACTACGACCTGTCTGAGTGGATCTTGGACTGCCTCACAGACAGACCCCAGTTTGTGAGAACCAGGGACTTTGTGTCTGAGGTCTTGACCTGCAGTGTGGGGGCCCCCCAGGGGACAGTCCTCGCGCCGTTCCTCTTCACCCTCTACACTGCGGACTTCAGACACAACACGGACGGTTGTGTTCTACAGAAGTTCTCCGACGACTCTGCCATCATCGGACTCAGCTCCGAGGACGATAACGCAGAGTACAGAGGAGTTATACAGGACTTTGTGGACTGGTGTCAGCGGAACCACCTCCTCATTAACGCGGGGAAGACGAAGGAGATGAACCCCCTCCTCATCAACGCGAAGAAGACCAAGGAGATGAACCACCTTCTCATCAACGTGAGGAAGACCAAGGAGATGAACCACCTTCTCATCAACGCGGGGAAGACCAAGGAGATGAACCACCTCCTCATCAACGTGGGGAAGACCAAGGAGATGAACCACCTCCTCATCAACGCGGGGAAGACCAAGGAGATGAACCACCTCCTCATCAACGCGGAGAAGACCAAGGAGATGAACCACCTTCTCATCAACGCGGGGAAGACCAAGGAGATGGTGGTGGATTTCCGCAGACGTCATTCTGCCGCTCCAGCCCCAGTGAACATCCAGGGAAAGGACATCGAGAGAGTGGACTCTTACAAGTTCCTGGGTGTTCATCTGAACCACAAACTGGACTGGACTCATAACACAGACGCTCTCTTCAAGAAGGGCCAGAGCTGATTCTACCTGCTGAGGAGGCTCAGGTCTTTTGGAGTGCAGGGGCCACTCCTAAAGACCTTCTATGACTCAGTGGTGGCATCAGCCTCTTGTACGGTGTGGTCTGCTGGAACAGCAGCATCACAGAGAGGGACAGGAAGAAGCTGGAACATCAGGAAGTCCAGCTCAGTCCTGGGCTGTTCCCTGGACACAGTGCAGCAGGTGGGGGACAGAAGGGTCCTGAGCAAACTAACATCTATGCTGGACCATTACTGTCACCCCCTGCAGGACACTCTCTCTGCTCTGGAGAGCAGCTTCAGTGACAGACTTATTCACCCTGGATGTGTGAAGGAGAGGCTCCGCAGGTCTTTCCTTCCTGCTGCTCTCAGACTGTACAACAAACAATAGGGACTAATGAACACTGCCTTATAACATCCTTATCTTATACCAGAATGTTCAATATACAGCTGCCAATATACAGTTGTAAACATACTGCTGCTAATGTACAGTTGTAAACATACTGCTGCTAATGTACAGATGTAAACATACTGCTGCTAATGTACAGTTGTAAACATACTGCTGCTAATGTACAGATGTAAACATACTGCTGCTAACATGTACAGATGTAAACATACTGCTGCTAATGTACAGATGTAAACATACTGCTGCTAATGTACAGATGTAAACATACTTCTGCTAATGTACAGTTGTAAACATACTGCTGCTAATGTACAGATGTAAACATACTGCTGATAATGTACAGTTGTAAACATACTGCTGCTAATGTACAGATGTAAACATACAGCTGCTAATGTACAGATGCTAACATATAACTAGACTTTACTTGTACTAGATTACACAGTACTTCAGGGATTCCCAAAGTTTTTAGCCCGCAACCCCCATCATAAATGCACTGCTCCCCCGCGACCCCCCACCTCAACAGTCCTTCCCGTCAATGAGCATGTATTTCCTTGATACGGAGTAACGCAGAGACTCGCGCCACTACTGAGCTGCACTGTCCAGCCCAAAAAAGGAGGCTTGCGTATTTTTACTCACGTAGTGACACAGTGATGGGCTTGGTGGGCTTCCTTCTTAGCAGAAGTGGAGCGCATTTCTTGCGGCTCGCCCTCTCTGTTCTCATACCGCGGTAAAGTGGCCCGGCTTTTTGGAGTCAGCGGTAAAGAGGTCCGCACATTAAAAGCGGGCGGCCGCTTTCTGCTGTTACTTCATGCGGTTCCTCCCCCGCGGCTTCTTTTTCCAAAGTTACTGTCAGTAACAGCATAAACCGGCCACCCGCTCTTAATGTGCGGACCTCTTTACCACTGACTCCGAAAAGCCGGGCCTCTTTACCACGCTGTTCTACCGCTGCCTTCTCTCCCTCCGCCGCCCTCTCTCCCTCCGCTGCCCTCTCGCCCTCCGCTGCCCTCTCTCCCGCCGCTGCCCTCTCTCCCTCCGCTGCCTTCTCTCCCTCCACTGCCCTCTCTCCCTCCACTGCCCTCTCTCTCTCCGCTGCCCTCTCTCCCTCCGCTGCCCTTTCTCCCTCCGCTGCCTTCTCTCCCTCCACTGCCCTCTCTCGCTCAGCTGCCCTCTTTCCCTCCGCTGCCCTCTCTCCCTCCGCTGCCCTCTCTCCCTCCGCTGCCCTCTCTCCCTCCACTACCTTCTCTCCCTCCGCTGCCCTCTCTCCCTCCGCTGCCCTCTCTCCCTCTCTCCCTCCGCTGCCCTCTCTCCCTCCACTGCCCTCTCTCCCTCCGCTGCCTTCTCTCCCTCCGCTGCCCTCTCTCCCTCCACTGCCCTCTCTCCCTCCGCTGCCTTCTCTCCCTCCGCTGCCCTCTCTCCCTCCGCTGCCTTCTCTCCCTCCGCTGCCTTCTCTCCCTCCGCTGCCCTCTCTCCCTCTCTCCCTCCGCTGCCCTCTCTCCCTCCGCTGCCTTCTCTCCCTCCACTGCCCTCTCTCCCTCCGCTGCCTTCTCTCTCTCCGCTGCCCTCTCTCCCTCCGCTGCCCTCTCTCCCTCCGCTGCCTTCTCTCCCTCCACTGCCCTCTCTCCCTCCGCTGCCTTCTCTCTCTCCGCTGCCCTCTCTCCCTCCGCTGCCCTCTCTCCCTCCGCTGCCCTCTCTCCCTCCGCTGCCCTCTCTCCCTCCACTGCCCTCTTCCTCCGCTGCCCTCTCTCCCTCCGCTGCCCTCTCTCCCTCCGCTGCCCTCTCTCCCTCCTCTCCCTCCACTGCCCTCTCTCCCTCTCTCCCTCCGCTGCCCTCTCTCCCTCCTCTCCCTCCGCTGCCCTCTCTCCCTCCTCTCCCTCCGCTGCCCTCTCTCCCTCCACTGCCCTCTCTCCCTCTCTCCCTCCGCTGCCCTCTCTCCCTCCACTGCCCTCTCTCCCTCTCTCCCTCCGCTGCCCTCTCTCCCTCCGCTGCCCTCTCTCCCTCCTCTGCCCTCTCTCCCCTCCTCTGCCTTCTCTCCCTCCACTGCCCTCTCTCCCTCTCTCCCTCCTCTGCCCTCTCTCCCTCCACTGCCTTCTCTCCCTCCGCTGCCCTCTCTCCCTCCGCTGCCCTCTCTCCCTCCGCTGCCCTCTCTCCCTCCGCTGCCCTCTCTCGCTCCACTGCCCTCTCTCCCCTCCGCTGCCCTCTCTCCCTCCACTGCCCTCTCTCCCTCTGCTGCCCTCTCTCCCTCCGCTGCCTTCTCTCCCTCCACTGCCCTCTCTCCCTCCACTGCCCTCTCTCCCTCCGCTGCCCTCTCTCCCTCCGCTGCCCTCTCTCCCTCCGCTGCCCTCTCTCCCTCCACTGCCCTCTCTCCCTCCACTGCCCTCTCTCCCTCCACTGCCCTCTCTCCCTCCACTGCCCTCTCTCCCTCTCTTCGTACCATCAGCCTGACCCTTGACTGTTCTCCCCCTCCGTGTTTTTCTATTGTAGATATTAACCATGTTTCATTTTAAAGCAGGTATTATTTGTTTGAAGCCTCCAAACACCTTTAGTTTTAGCAAACAGCAGCAGGACACGTTTTGATTGACGCTGTCAATGACTGGGACAACGTAATTAACGTAATTAAAATATATTATATTCTCCTAACACAATTTAACAGGTAATCCTTTTGAATCAAATCAAATGTAAAATAAATATTTAAGGGCTATTAATTTGCTCATTTTTTGTTTTTGTTTTTGGAAATCATCTTCCCACCTCTACACCTTCTCCACCAACTCCCACTGATGACTGCTGTCGTTGTGTCCTTGGGCAAGACACTTAACCCCACTTTGCCCAAAGCCCCCACTGAAAGATCAAGGCTATGCTCACAGTCAGAGAGCAGCCGTCCTCCTGTGGACTCACCACCTGCAGAGGGTCAGTGAGGGGCTGGTGCTATGAGACTTGGGTGGCATCTCTGACTGCCACCCCCCTGACCCAGAAATGGATTAAAGGGTAGAAGATGGATGGATGGATGGAAATCATCTTGCGACCCCCCCAGGGGTTCCCACCGCCCACTTTGGGAACCACTGTAGTACTTTATACTTGCCTCTTATTTTGTCAATGTTCAATTTTTACATCTATTATATTTTCAAGATAGAGATTTTATACTTATTATTGATGCTAGATTTAGATTGTTTTTATTTTGATTAGTATTTCTTTTGATCACATAACGTGTGCCGTGTGCTCCTCTTTCCTACTGTTCTATAACCTGTGATGCAACACCGAAATGTCTCCACTGTGGGACAAAAAAAGGATCTCTTCATCTTAATCTTTTCATTAGTGCTGTTAATAACTGACAGCACTAATAAGACACTTCACATATCATTATTCTTTCACTCCACACACAGTGGTATTAAACTATTTGTGTAGTCACAGCTGCCCTGGGGCACACTGACAGAAGTGAGGCAAACAGTTTGTGCTTCTACCAACTGTTTGTGTACACACCAAACAGGCCCGGCCCCCTCTTTTGGCCTTCTCTGTCTCTTCCTTGTGTTCTATATCTGCTGAGTCACTAAAGCTGAAGTCATTGGCCACTGAGGTGGGAATCCCGCTGAACTGCATCATGGCTCTGAAAAACTACAGCGAGGGGGAGATGAAAAACAACCCAGACATGGACACACTCATCCTCACAGCGCTCAAACACATTGTCCAATTTGGAGATGACTTCATCGAAGAGATGACAGACACAGCAAATGGGATTTAGGTGTTTACTCTGCTGAAAATACAAACGTACCAAATGTGTGCTAGCCAATCGTCTTAAAATGTAACAGTATACAAGATAATCATATTGAATCTATGTATGTTTTAAGGTCAACAAAGGCTATTGACAATGTTATGAACAAATATTTTGGGTTAACCCCCTTTTCCTTTGGGACCTGACTGTATCACCTCTTTTCTCGATTGATTTTGTGACTCTATTTCATGACCAATACACTCTAAACCTAGCTCTGTGGCTCTCACAGAACATATACTGGGAGTAGATTACACAAAGGTGGGTGCTTTTTGAATCATTAGAACAAAGCTGCATGATTTGGGTTTTTGTGGTGGTGGTAAAAAATACAATCATCATGTTTGTGACTGTAAACTTGACAATGTGTGAAAAAGTTGTAGATGTTGACTGTTTGTCAGTGTTTTCCAACCAGTGTGCCTTTAGAAATGGTCCAATATCACCTCATTGGTCAAAATAACTTGAGAAGATAATAATGAGAGACAGAAACACTAGAAAGACTTTTTGCACTTGTTTGATTTTCTATATAACACACTTTGGTGAGAATGACTTTGAAATATGAATAAAAAGCAGAGTTTCATGTCTGTATCAGTTTCAGCTGCTGTTGTGTCATGCGATTGTTTTCAATTCATAAAGTGCCGCAGCTCAATAATGTTCAGGAACACTGGATTAAATGACTGCAAACACCTCTGGGATCATATTCTTTATGCATGTCTTATTCTTATAGTTTGTGAGTTCCTGTCACAATGGAAATAAAAATATTCTGATTTTGATAAGCCTGACACATGTTTCAGAGGCACAAGTGAGAATGGAGGAGACTGCATATTGGGTGTATTTATATCATTATTATTATTAAATTGTATGTTAAGTATATTGTCCATTCTAACACATCAAATGCCAAAGTAAATATTATCAATTCGTTTTTTTTTTTTTCTTTCCTCCTCCTGCTCTCCTCGAGGTCAGACGTGTCTCTTGCCTGCTCCTGCTCTTGCCCTGACTGTCTTTTTTCCTAGAGTTCTGCCTGTGTACAACTTGAAAAATGATGGAATTAATCAACTGGTCCCTCAACGCAATTGATACTATTTTTTCATCACGTAAAGGCGGTTCTGGAGATGCCGTTTGCCCGGATGGTACGGCGGCTGCTGGGTACGTTTTTGACAACTGGCAAAAGTGGCACCCCGTTTGTCTGTCGGAACTGTCCATCGAGGACATTGAGGATATATACATTTTTGGATTTATGGTAGCAGGGTTCCTCCTGATTGGATTTGGAGTTGGCTTGATCTACCGTAAAGTTGGAGGGCTGTCCACTCAGAAGATTTACGAGCGGCTGTCCGCGGAAAACAAGGAGAGTTTCCGCGAGTTGGTCAGAGTCGTGGTCGAGGGCACAGTGGGGGCACAACGGGGTGTGAGTCTGATCGAACATTCCCTTAATGACCTGGGAGTGAGATCTTTGGATGGACTTAAACGCTTGGAAGGATTGATTGAAGGACTTGGGCCTCACGGTGGAACCTCGTACTGACGTGGTCAACTCCGGATAACGGTGAACGGAGGGTCCAGTTCCAGTATAATTTGGACATATTGGCTTTAGTTTACACTGCCTTTTATTGATCAGCTAAAGTGCTTATACAAATTTCCCACAAGGCATGTGTTGTTTTGTCTCCAATGTTTGCACCTGCGCTATCTTTGTCCTTCACATTCCACCACCACTGCTACCGGCCACTCAAGGCCGACACTGGACTCTATCTAACTCAGACTCACAACCCATAACACCAGTTACAGTCCCCCCCCCCCTTCTACATGTCTGCCTCCCTCTCTTTTCAGTCTATGGTGGTCTTCCCCTCCACCTCCCCCACCCACACTCCCCTCTGACGCGCTATATTGGACGAGGCGGGCCAGAGTGATGACTTCCCATTAAAAAGATCTGCATGTTTTCCACATGTACTGTGTCTCTCCCATGTTTGTTGAAATATGTGTCTGTTTTGCTCTCTGCTGTTGAATAACTGTCATAAGGAGCGCGGAAAATTAGAGTACGCGGCCGGCCTTGATGTTTATTCATCGAACTGAATTTCTCCATCTGTGTGAGATAATAAAGGATTGATTGATTGATTGATTGAAGATCACATTTAAGGAACATCATGAACACAGAGATAATGTATATACTTCAGGCTTTCTCTCCTGCAATGTCACATTGACGGCAGCAGAGGGCAGCACACGCTCGACTTTACTTCATATTACTGCCCGTTCACATTAAATGATGCTTTTATAATCAGATTTATTATGAACTGTTTCTATGTGCTACCTCCAAATAACAGAACTCATATTATAATTGGCTAAGAATATTATTCGCCAAGCTGCTTTTCAGGATGGAATAAAAACCATTAAAATGTTTCAAAATGAATACTAATGATCCAATTTTGACATCGATTTTACGAGCCATCTACAGAGCAACAATCGGGCGGCATGGTGGCTGAGTGGATAGCACTCTCGCCTCTCAGCAAGAAGGTCCTGGGTTCGAATCCCGGTTGGACCAGGGCCTTTCTGAGTGGAGTTTGCATGTTCTCCCTGTGTCTGCGTAGGTCTCCTCCGGGTACTCCGGTTTCCCCTACGACTAAAAACATGTACAACATGTACAACATGTACAATATGTAATATGGACTAATTTCCTTATTAATGTAATAGCTTTACTTTGTATGACGTAAAGAGTAAGGGTTGGGCTCACACAGAAGATCTTAGGTTTGCCTACTGGAGCTGGGGTGAGTAAGTAAAACACAACCAACAGTAACGGTGTGGTTATGGTACCATATATTGTGAAAGAAGACATTTACATATTTACAACATGGGAAAAAATATAGAAGACCATTTACAAGATTACTGCAGTATTTTGATTAGAGTGCACCAAGTTGTTATAAAGTTCGTTGTGGTTCAACAACCGTAGTCCATAGAATAAGAAACAAAAATATAATCCAGTATGTGTCAGTAGTGAGAGTGGTGGGGGACAGGCTGTGTCAGCCTCCTACCAGACCAGGGTTGCTCAGAGAAGAAAGAATCCAAGATCGTCTCAGCTCGCCATCACGTCACCTCAGTATAGTCCACCTGGCCTGTATTAATAAACAGGACCAGTAAGTACCAGGAAACTATTCACTAATTAGTTCATATTAAAGTTTAAATTCATGTGCACACAGTATACACCAATGCAGTTAACTATAGATATAAATCACAACTAAGTACACTTAACTATTGTTTTACATTTTAAATCACATCATATAAAAATCATAAAATAGGTACATGTAATATACATTGCCAGCATGACAACATACACAGAGCTAACTCGCTAATGCTAACGCAATAGGTTATGCCGCTAGCTTAGCACATTTCACAACAACACACATCCAACTCACCAATTCCCAGCGTATGCCCAGCGCGATGGCGGCACAAGACTCCCCACGGCCCAGTAGTCAGCTCTAACAGTGGTATTTCAACACTTAACTTATAGCAAGGCACAATGATAACCCGCAAATATTTTCCAATACGTACATGGGCGGCACGGTGGCTGAGTGGATAGCACTCTCGCCTCTCAGCAAGAAGGTCCTGCGTTCGAATCCCGGTTGGACCAGGGCGTTTCTGAGTGGAGTTTGCATGTTCTCCCAGTATCTGCGTAGGTTTCCTCCGGGTGCTCCGGTTTTCCCTATCACTAAAAATAAATACAATAGGTTTGTCATGTGCCTCCTGTACTGGCACCCCCACTCCCAAAAATACTTCCACCAGGGTTACATCCTCCCCCCTTAAACCCATGCATGCCCCGTTGCATGCTAGACAGTGTGAATTGGCGAATTAACGGTAGGTGTTGGACTTAAGGCATCGGCTAAACTATGCAATAGAGATTGAACAACGGACATAAGAGGATTGCCTAGCGAACTGTACTGTAGCCTTTGAGGTGGTAACCTATTGCGAACAGAACGCCTAGGAACTGGTTCAGGTTCAAGTTCTATTGGATTGTCGTCCAAGTTCAAGGACTCATCCGCACTTGCAGGGTCGACTTGTTCCGCAGTATTTTCAACGAGTGGACCATCAGTAACCTCTGCTATAACTTGCTCGGGTAAGTATTCTTACATAGGTGTTTCAACAGGTTCTTCAGACTGAGGTAAGTTAATTCTCACAGGGTCTTCCTGAGGTAAGTGTTCATTTTCAGACTCCAGCAAGTTGGCAACAGCTGGCAGTTCTTGCGTTGGAGGCAGATCGTCTGGAACTACATTAGAGGATGAAGCTGGGACCTGACTGACCTCTCTCTGAAACCGTACTGGACATGGAATTAACCTTGCAGGTAGACACTCATCACCTGATAAATCTGAATAGTTAGATTTGGGCACTGCTGACGAGTCTTACGCCTTGCAACTGGACTGGCTACAATGTCTGGTTCTTGGTCAGCAGCAGGCAGAAACCCGCAGGGTAAAAGGAGATCTCTGTGAAGAGTGCGTGTTGGCCCATCATGGTGTTCTGGCTTGACAGTATAGACTGGCAAGTCTCCAGCTTGCGTCACAACAACATACACTTCCTGCTCCCACTTATCACTGATCTTATGTTTTCCCCTCAGCCGCACACTGCGCGCAAGAACACGGTCTCCAACATCCAGCTTTGATGGAATTACTTTTAGATCAAACCGGACCTTGTTCTTCTCAGCGGCTTTGGCAGCGTTTTTGGAAGCAATATCATAGCTTTCCTTTAATCGGGACTTTAAACCTTGGACATACTGCGAATGTGGTTGATGTTGCTGCGAATTTATTGGCAATCCGAAAGCCAAGTCGACTGGTAGACGAGGAGAACGTCCAAACATCAGTTCATACGGAGTATATCCAGTCGTTTCGTTTCGGGTACAGTTGTACACATGAACTAGAGGTTTGACATAATCTTTTCATTTCGATTTTTGTTTTTCCTCAAGTGTTCCAAGCATATTGAGCAAAGTACGATTAAATCGCTCC